ACAAGCAGTTCTGCCATGCTAGTGGTGCAATGCGCAAGGCTCAGAGGCACGAGGGGCTCCGCCATGTTGGACTGGATGGGGCAAGTCCACAGTACCTGCTTTTTGACCTAGGAATGCCACAGCTTAGATTCTTAAGTGCTTAGCAACTTAAAAGCACAAAGCAAAAATGTTCCTGAAACAGTAAAGAATTACAGACAATGCAATAGGACAGATTCAGACATAAAAGATCTCTAAATGGGTCATAGTGTTAGACATACATAGGCTTGGGAGAGAGAAGAAAAAGAATATAGAGAATAAAGTTAATGCCTTAAAAAAAAGGTAAAGTCTTTAGAGAGACAAAGTACAGATAGTTATAGATTAAAAGAAAGAAACAAAAATAAGCCACGTAAAAATGGAAAATTCATAAAGAGCCTGGATTCTGTATATTATTGTGTTTTCTTTAAATTTTTTTGGCTGTAAAGGAGCTAAGTACAGAGAGACATTTCACTGTGTGGTCTGCTAAGCTAATCCAACATATGTATTATAAAGTTATCTTGACTTTAGAATTTGGGTCTAAGGATATGATGCTTTAGAAAAGAGGTTCTTTTGTTTTCACAGAAGATGAGACCCTGTGAATTGCTTCTATCCCAATATGGTATGATAGACCACACCCTCCTGAAAGGTCGCTGTGAACACCCTCAAAAAATTACTTCACTCAACTGCTGACTGAGAGGAACCCAGCAAACAAGATACACCATAAAAGACCTGATTAACAGGGCCCCATACAGTAGGAAGAAGTTTGGAGAGAAATAACTGCACCCATATTCCCAAATATTGTTTATAAATGTTCTTTTACATTTAAAGGGGTATATGATGTAGATATGAATAATTTACATTGGTATAAATTTTGTTATATGTATATGTATCTCTGATCTTGACTAAGGTATTGTGATTGTGAAGTTCATTTAAAAATGTAATGTATAATTAGGAAATATAGGTTGTTAATGGATAATCATCGATAATAGTCAAGCTTGTAGTCATGTTAGTTAGATTTTCTAGATAAAATATATTTCAGTTAGATAGGCATTCTTCATATCTTTCAAAGACTACAGAATATGGCATTTTAAATGTATTAATAACTTAGGGTTTTCATGACAATGAGACACGTCTGTTTCTGGCAGCACCAGCTACTTCAAGAGGAAGATGGGCATCGAAGAGGCTGCTTATGGAGTTTGCTAGCCATTTGGGCAAGAAACTGCTCTTGCCTGGACTGTTGCATAAACTGGACGCAAAGAACCCACAGAAAGAAGACTGCTGAACTTGCCTAAAGGTGAGATGATCTTTTGGGGTTCCTGATTCATGAAAGAGTCTGCGAAACATTCTGCAGGACAGCAGAAAGTGAATGAACTGTCTTTGAAATTTCCTGCTTCATGGAAAAGTCTGCTGGATACTATGGGCCTGAAGGCCAAAGATGGATGCCCCAACAGTACAAAAGAACTTTTTGGGTGACTGCCAGGCAGCGAGATGTCTCTGTCATTTCTAGAGTTTTGGAAGTTGCTTATTTCTTGTTTACTTAGGTAATTTTATGCCTTTCTGGAGTCTTTGATCGAGTTGAAGAATAGATAGATGGTTATAGTTTTCAATTGTTATGATAAAGATAAAATAGATATAAATATTGTAACTGTAATTCTTGCTTTATAACTGTTTTGCTATATGTAATTTTACTATGTTAAAGTTAAAGCCTTTCTTTTTTGTTTAAACAGAAAAAGGGGAAATGGTATAAGAGGATCTTCTACCTATCTGTTGCTTTCATTGGTTAATTAACAAAGAAAACTGCTTGGCCTGATAGGGCAGAACATAGGTAGGTGGGGCAGACAGGACAGAATTCTTGGAGGAAGAAGGCAGTATGGCAGACACCATGGCTCTCCTCTCCAAGACGGATGCAGGTTAGACTCATGCTGGTAAGCCACAGTCAAGAGGCAATACATATTAATAGAAATGTGTAGTAGGAGCTGCGGGCTGCTTTCCTGCCACCCAGCTCTCAGCTGCCTAGTTAGCTTATGCCCTGAAATAACAACACACAAATTGTATTCTTTTTTTTTTTTTTCGAGACAGGGTTTCTCAGTGGCTTTGGAACCTGTCCTGGAACTAGCTCTTGTAGACCAGGCTGGTCTCGAACTCACAGAGATCCGCCTGCCTCTGCCTCCCGAGTGCTGGGATTAAAGGCGTGCGCCACCACCCCCAGGCCACAAATTGTATTCTTTTAAACACTGCTTGGCCCATTATATCTAGCCTCTTCTTGGCTAACTCACACCTGGACTAGCCCATTTCTAGTAATGTGTGTAGCAGCCCAAGGTGCACTTACCGGGAATTTTCTAGCCTACGTCCATCCTTGGTTGGAGCTTCATCGTGTCTGCCCGGGAGAGGGGAGCATGGCCTCTGAGCTCACTTCCTCTTCCTCCCAGCATTCTGTTCTGTTTACTCCTCCCACCTATGTTTTAACCTATGAGGCCAAGCAGTTTCTTTATTAATTAACCAATGACCTTCCTCCATCAGAAATGGGTTAATTAAAATGTGAGAGTTAGCCAATGAGGCTAGAAATAATGGGCCAGGCGTGCTTAATGAATATAATTTGTCTGTTGTTATTGCAGGGTATAAGCTGGGTGGCAGGAAACGGCTCCTTTTACAATGGTGGTGGAGGGGGAGGATACAGTCTTCTGGGACTAAATGTTCTTGTACCCATGAACCAGCTGAAAGAGAAAAGTGATAGGATCTATGTCCAAGACATACAAGTCTCCCTGAGATGTACCTAGTGTGTCTGCATCAGTGACCAAGCACAGTAGCAGGTCTCACTTCCTATTGACACTCATTAATCCCTAAAACATTGTGTTCTGTCCCCCACTACAATTAATGGTGAATCCTATTACAATTAATGGTGAGAGTTTATAGTCCCAACCATCAGGAATCTGAAGCAGGAAGATCACTTGTGGTCAGCCTAGTCAACTAAGCAAGACTAAATTTCACAAAATAAAATTGAAGAAGAAATTATAGTGGATCCTTGCTTCAGGGCTTTCAGGAAGAGAAGTAGTACCTGCTCTAACAACCTCTGTCATGCCCACCGTGCCCTGAACAGAGCAATGACCTGGGAACTAAATGATACATGGCTGAGTGGCTCAATGGATAAAAGGGCCACCGCCCTTCAACACCATCATTTCCTTTACAGTGTTTGCCCATCTGTGCAGAGTCCAGATGAGCACCAGACTTTCATCTATAGGATGAATTCTTTTCTTTGCTCTATGACTCCTGACTGTGTCATTATTGAACCCTGACCCAGAGTGCTGGTTCTCAGTAAGAGAGGGCTCAGTGTGACTGCTCCCGTCAGCTGTGTCTACTATGGCTGTGTGTGCACAAGGAGTTAGGGCCAGCAAGTGGCTTTGTTTTGCCATGTAGCTACCAAGGCAAAGATGAGTGTCTGTGGATCTCAGAAGTGGGCAGGGCGTGGGCAAGGGGTGGCTAACACAGGTAAGCAGTAAGGTCCTGGCTCCAAGGTTCTCTGGTCTCTATTTTTCAGACTCATGCCAAACCCACCAACTAGGGTGCTAGGAGTTTTCATCCAGTGGGTTGTGGATAATGGTGGGAAGAATTCCCATTTTCCAAGATGACCTAGGCAAGAGGCAAGATAGCAGGAAAGGCTAGTCTGGAACACCAGAGAACAAGTTGGAGTCCTGCTGATGCCTTGGCAAGAGAATCATGAAAAGCAGAGACGGGTATGGTGTAGGACAATGCAGAGCCATGCCAGACTTCAGCTGAAGGAGCCTGAACTCATAGGCACCAGAAAGCCATACAGAAATGTTTCTGCCTGCAGGCTTGGCAGGGTTTCTGTGAAACCACAGACAGGTTCTCAGAAGAAGGGGTAGTCCTGGATCAGAAGTACAGCATGGTGGGTAGGAGTTGCCAAGTGTCCCAGAGATGAGCAAGGGGCAGGAAGAGGGGCCAGCCTACAAGCACGTAGCTCAGCGAGCTTTCCTGAAATGTGGGCTCACAAAGCTCTCTGACCTCATAGAAAGGATCTCTTTCTTTTGGCCATCCCCACTGCCTGGTTTTCAATACACACAGAGCCAAGCTCCAGTCAGTGTGTGTGTGTGTGGGAGGGGGAGAATCACATTTCTCAGAAAGCATTCCAGTCAGTCTGTGGCTCCTCAAATTTCTCTTTTGTCTATCAGTTAGTTCTTAAACCTTCTAGAAAGGCTCATAAATTATTTTCCCAATCACCCAATTTCAATAAAAAAAAAAATCTCCCTCAAGCTGGGCGGTAATGACACACGCCTTTAATCCCAGCACTTGGGAGGCAGAGAAGGCATATCTCTGTGAGTTAGAGGCCAGCCTAGTCTACAGAGTTAGTTAGTTCCAGGACAAGCTCCAAAGCCACAGAGAAACCCTGTGAAAAACCCACAGAAAAACCAAAAACTAAAAATCTCCCTCATCTAGTATCATATCAAGATTCAGAGAGACATAGAAATCTTAATCTATTGCAAAGTTTAGTACTTCATGCATGTAATTTAACTTGAAAGTGAAAGAAGAGGAAGAGAAAGAGGATAAGGAAGAGGAGGAGGAAGTGGAGGATGAGGAGGAGGAGAAGGAGGAGGAGGAAGAGGAGGAGGAGGAGGAGGAGGAGGAAGAAGAAGAAGAAGAAGAAGAAGAAGAAGAAGAAGAAGAAGAAGAAGAAGAAGAAGAAGAAGAAGAAGAAGAAGAAGAAGAATTGTTCAAAACCAGTGTACTTAAAAGACCTCTAACCTCTACTTTGATTTGGGATAGAGGGCAGGCTTAGAGACATTTAGCAGGCAGGGGACTGACTAGCTGCTGTGGTCAGCAGGCTAGGTGTGGGCTGAAATAAGATCAGGTCTTGGAAAAAGTCATCAGAATGTTAAAGCAGCAGCTTTCAACAGCAGTTGCTCATCTAAGAGGACAAGCCTTGAACTTCAAGTCAGGCATTCCAGTATCCCCAAACAAAAGAGCTAAGTAAAGTATTAAACTCACCTCCCGCAAAGACTGCTGACCTGTAAGTGGGTGAAAAGGCATACAGCTCTTACGAAACTGCTAAGACAGCTCAATAACATCCAGATCCATTGGGAAAAAAAAAAAAAAGACACGATGACATTGGCAGCAGAAGTAGGTCAAAAGGATCTGGACTTTCGCTGCTCTGGGGAGCTCACCAGTATCGCGTCCACCCTAGGCAGCAAGCAGCATGTCAGTGAGTGAGGGCAAGTGACACAAGTGACCCAGTACCCTCAAGGTCAGGGTAAAAGTTCAAGAGATGTCAGTAAGTCCCTTCAGATTTCAACTGCCCGTCTCTGGGCAGCCAGAAACAGATCCGAGGAATGGGTGTCACCCAGTAGCCTCTGTCAGATCCCACTTGCTTCCAAGCACTGTGAGTTTGGAGACCAGGATGTGGAGCAACTGAGAATCTCTTCTCTGTGGACTCATAGATCAAAAGCACTAATCAACTTAGTCAGTACTGGCTTTTTGTTTTGTTTTTGCTTTGTGTATGCCTGGATGTCCTGGGACTCACTGTGTCGACCAGCGTGGCCTGGAACTCATAGAGATCCACCTCCCTCTGCCTCCCGAGTGCTGGGATTAAAGGCGTGTGCCAGCACGGCCTTTAACTTTCACTCTAACTACTTACTTAGGTAGCAGGTTTGGCACAGGTTTTGGAGACAACAACTCTCAACCATTCAAAGAAAGTAGGCAGTGATTTTTGCAGGGATGCTCTCAGACTCTACCCTTGAAGGATCACAACCCCCTGAAGCAACATACCTGGGAGCCTCCATAAGGAAGGAAGCTCAGTCTCCGGCCTCCAGGAGGCTCAGATGCCATACATGGACCCCTAGCTTCTCCTTATTGCTATTGCTATACATCCTCCTGTAACCATTTCTTGCTCTTGGATCTGGACCTAATGGTTAGGTTCACCAAGAAGTTATCTCCTCCAGGAGGCCTAACTGATCAATCCCTATTCCTGACATTCAATGACCCTGATGCCCAACGGTATGGCATAGGGCTCTTTCATTGTTCTGCATACTTAGTACTGCTGAGAGCCCAGAAAATGACAATTGGTGCCCAAGTCCCCAAAACACATCCACATGCACCTTTCAACAGTATGTCACAACTCCAGCTGAGAGACTGCAAGAGGTCGGACAGAGTCACCGAAGAATAAAGAGCAAGGGGATGAGGACTTAGGTTTCCATCATTCTCCACATGAAGGCTACATGCCATAATTAAACCCCACCAGCACTCTTGTCTCAGAATACTGTGGAAAGGACTCCATATAAAGTCACCCTGAATAGATCTTCAGACCCAGGGGTCCTTAAGAAATAACAACCCACTCAAGCGAAACAAAACAATTTCTCATATGGCATCTTTCCTCTTTCATGAGGCATCTCTCAAGCGGCATCTCTCATGAGGCGTTTTTCATGGGGCAGGATGAGACTTCATTTGGGGTGAGGATGAGTGAAGGAGGGAGAGTAACTAGAGAAAAGGAAGAGAGTTTGGGACACATGCTTCCTTAACTTAGAAAAGTTCTGCCGAGCATCCCTTTCTGAACACAGATGCTAAGACGGAGGCATTCCCTGGACCAAGTCCTAGGCTCCTCTGGATCACATCATTAGACAAAGTCGCACCACTCAGAGCCTTAGGGCTTCTCCTAGAAGCAGGACTTTCTGGACTTCATCTTCAATGTGGCTCCAAGGACGGATGGCCAGCCTGACACTTGTGCTCTGAGGGACATACCGTGGCTAGAAGTCATTTCATAAATCTGTGTTCCTGGGCGTCCTGACTGGAGGATGCCCATCACCAGGGAGCCTGTGCCTTGGACGAAGGACTACAACCGTCGCCCGCGTTTATCACCAGATGCTGACAGGAACCTGCCACCTACCTCGGTCACGATGGTAGACAGGAAGATGTCCTTGCTGTACTCCCAGCCATCCAGGCAACTCTCCTGCTCCAGCTGCTCCAGGTCCACGTCCTGTCCCGGCTCCAGTCCTAGCGCGGAGAAGTTGGCGATAGTAGCCAGTCGGTAGCGGCGACATTTCTGGGGCACCTGTCGTCCGTCCTTCGTCTCCAACGGGATACTGTGGTTGCGCCACGCGCTGCTCAGGTTCACGGTGTCAGGCACAAGGCAACGGTGCTCCGGGGTCCCCGCCAGAAACACGATTGACATCCCATTGAAGCCATTGGGGATGATGCTGGCGCTGAGGAGGAAGAAGATGAGGCGTTGGAAGGGTCCCCAGTCTCCCAAGAAGGCGGTCACCTCGTCGTAGTCCCGCATGCTGTCCTCAGCAGCCCACGGTGTCCGGCTGGGGACCTGGGTACACCGCGGCGCAGGAGACCGGGCGCTGCGGGTGTCTGCGAGTGAGCAAGGAACAGACTCGTGAGTTCCCCCGCTGCCTCAGACTTGGCCACCGCCAACTTTACTTAGGGCCTGAGGCCGGGGCGGGCTCTGGGCCTGGGCCGCAAGGCCCGCCCCGCCGTCCCGGCTCGGAGGCACGGTGCGGCGGGGGCGGGGCAGGGGGCTGAGTGACGCATGATGGGCGCCGGTCGCGCGTGCGCCTGAGGCGGAGGTGAGCAAGGACTCAGAACTGGCCGGGCGGTGCGGAAGGCGGGGCTGAGCCTGGCTTCCCTAGTGGGAGAGCGGGAAGGTGTGGCCTACTATGGCCCCGCCCCCTCCTCTGGTCTCGGTTTGGGGCCTGGCTGGGGTGGTGTCTTCTAGTTCCGCCCAGACTGTTTGGCTTCGGGTCTTGGGGCGGGGCGTTTGTGGACCACGCCCCGAGCAGGTCGGCTTGTAGGGGCTGGATAGGGTCTCTTCAGGTAATGACAGGGACTAGATTCCCTGGGTTACTTTGGGAAAGGGTGACTCTTAAGGCCTTTTTTTTTTTCATGGCCAACCTGGGCATTCACTGGAGAGAGTCTTAGAATTTAAGGGTGGAGTCGCCTACACTCTCAACTTTTTGTTGTGGGTCAGAAGGTATTGTGATCATCTGAGAATTGACAACCGCCTTTGTCCCAGTTTTTCCTAAAAAGAGCCGCATCTTTGGGGGCTGCGGAGATAGCTCAGTATTTAAGAGCCCAGGTTGCAACCTGGCGTGAAGGTGCCTGCCTTTAATTCCAGCACTTGGGAGGCAGAGGCAAGCAGATCTCTGAGTTCGAGGCTGGTCTGGTCTACAGAGTTCCAGGACAGCCAGGGTTACACCCCTTTGTGGGGTGGGGTTGTGTGTGTGTGTGTGTGTGTGTGTGTGTGTGTCCAGATTGTTTCTCCAGACGACCTGGGTTCTCTTCCCAACAGACTTAGGGCAGCTCCTATGGCAACAGGCATGTACTTGGTGCATGGACAAGTCAGACTTGCAGGCAAAACACATAAAAATAAAATAATAGTAGTATGTATATTAAAAAGGGATGGGTTTTGGAACTGGCCATGAGAAAGGGCGCAATGAATTTTAATTCCCAGACTCCCACTCTGTTTTGTGTTCTTAAATAATTTGGTTGTTTCTCAGTTGATTTAAGGAATGGAAAAAAATTTAACTTCAAGATTAATGAGCTTAGTCTCGGATTCTCAGATTTGTAATCTTTACTGTTAACTCAGGAACCAATTAGTTAAAACAAAAATAAAACATACAGCAACAACATCAAAAGCCTGCCTGGGTTTGTAGCAGATACCTTCTCAGGCCAGCCAGGCCTACATAGTGAAACTCTTATCTCAAAATAAACAAACACAAAACCTTACCATGAAACCCAATATTTTGTCTAAGTAATGTATTCTAATAATAAAGGCATAAAACAGCAACCGTGTGATTCTAAAGCAATATTGCTAATAAAATGAGACGTTCCATTTGTAATTTTATTATACTTTTTTTTTTTTTGAGATAGGTCTTACTATATGGTACTGGACCTCAGGTCATGGAATGGATGCTGCCCACAGTTAAGGTTCATCTTTCTGGCTCAGCTAACCCAGTCTAGAAACTTCCTCACAGGTATGCCTAGAGGTTTCTCTCTTAGGTGATTCTAGATGCCATAAGGTTGACACTATTAACCACTGCAATTAAAATTAACCATATTAATACAATTTCCAGATTTAATAACTGAAAAATATGCCTGGTTAAACTCAAAGTTTAGTTGAACAAGAAGCAATTTTAATTATAATTATGTCCCCCTAAAGGGAGGGCTAGGTGAAACTGAGTTGTCAGCAGGTGTCCTGGGCTTTACCTGGCAATGCTGCATATTCAAAGCTTTTAGAGCTGGGGTGGGGCTCAGTGGGTGAATGCTTGCCTCACATGCCCAGGCCCGGAGTTTGATTACACCACTGTTAAAAAAAGCTTTCTTTAAAATGTATGAAACAAATTGTAATGTACTTAACCTAATGTATCAGAAACATTATTATTTCATCATCAAATTGATATGGAAATTATAAATGCATTTGATTCTTACTAAAAATCATGAATCCCATTTCTCATGCTAAGTCTGAGTAGTCCGGTGTGTACTTGAGTCTCCTTTCAATTGGATCTGGTGAGGTACACCTTTAAATACTTAACAACTATATTTAGTTAGTGGCTACCATATTGGGTTGTACTGTTTTAAGGACTTTAAGAATTTTGGCTGCTAGTAATAATTTAAATATTACAAGATATTCTTATTTTGTGAAAATGCCTTTTAACGTTTTTGTGTTTTCTCCTGCTTTTATTTTGTTTTACTTACTTGTTTTTGTGGTCCTGGGGTTGAACCTAGGGGCTTTGCTTGTTTGTCTGTTTTAACACAGAACAAAACGATACAATCACGATAGCATTTAATACAGGCTAAACTGAAAACAAATATATAGAAGGGAATCTAGCATTGCCACCAGTTCTCAGACAAGGAAATATGCATGTCTTAGTAAGGGTTTCTATTGCTGTGCAGAGACACCGTGACCACAGCAGTTCTTATAAAGGAAAACATTTAATTGGGGCTGGCTTATAGTTTCAGAGGCTTGGTCAGTTATCGTCATGGTGAGAAGCATGGCAGCGTGCAGGCAGACATGGTGCTGGAGAAGGAGCTGAGCATTCTACATCTCCATCTGCAGGTGGCAGGAAGGAGTCTGAGTGTCACACTGAATGTACTTGGAGAATGTAAGACCTCAAAGCCCATCTCTACAGTGACACACTTCCTCCCACAAGGCTACACCTACTCCAACAAGTTCACACCTCTTAATAGTGCCACTCTCTTTGGGCCAAGCATTCAAATCATGAGTTTATGTGGGCCATACCTCTTCAGACCACTACAGAAAACATTTACATAACTCATAGATTTTTAAACTAAAACTACACTGAGCCAGGTGTTATAGTATGTGTATAATTCTAGCATTTGGGACAGAGGCAAGAGGATAGTAAGTATGAGGCCACCCTGGGCAACACATGCATGCTTGGAACTCATAGTGAGCGATGGTAAAAGTGTTATCATAAGCACTGGTCATTCTTTGCATCTGACTGTTCAGCCTTCCTTCTTCCTGAATCTCCATGGCTATGCCTTTAGAAGAGAATTTGTTTCTTGCTAACATCATAACTGGTCCTTATTTGAAATTACCAAGAAAGAAAGCACAACTTCTTGGTAATAAATCAATTTCTTGTATCCTTTAATATTATTAAGCATTTCGAAATAATTGAAAACCTCTTTGGAAAGAATGTTGACTCCTGTCCAAAGAAAACCAGGTAAAAATAAGTTTTATTTTACCATAGATAAAAGCTAGTTTCCACTATAATAGAAAACATTGGGTTTTGCAAGATGACTCAGTGGGTAGAGTGCTTGCTCCCAAGTTCAATGACCTGAGTTTGATCCTTGGTGTATTAGTCAGGGTTCTCTAGAGTCACAGAACTTACGGAACAAATTCTCTCTCTCTCTCTCTCTCTCTCTCTCTCTCTCTCTCTCTCTCTCTCTCTGTATGTATGTATGTATGTAAGTATGTGTGTAAGTATGTATAAAGGGAATGTACTGGGATGACTTACAGGCTTCAGCTCAACAACAGCTATCTGTGAATGCAAAGTTCAAGAATCTAGTAGTTGCTCAGTCCCAGGAGACTGGGTGTCTTAGCTGGTTGTTGCAGGGAGAGCCCGCTTGTTTGTCCCAGCCACCCAGCTAACTTAGCCCTGAAATAACCACACAAAAACTGTATTAATTAAATCACTACTTGGCCCATTAACTCTAGTTCCTTATTGGTTAACTTTTATTTCTTAATTTAACCCATTTCTATTAATCTGTGTATTACCATGTGGCAGTGGCTTACCCAGTAAAATTTTCAGCATCTGTTTCCAGTGTATCCAAGACATCTCTCTGACTCTGCCTTCTTTCTCCCAGCATTCTGTTTAATTTTCTGCCCTATCAACAGGCCCAAAGCAGTTTCTTTATTAACCAATGAAAGCAACACAAAGACAGAAGGACCTCCTATACCAACTGGTCTTCAGTATATGCTGGAATCCCAAAGAAGTAGGCTACAATTCAGGTGAAGAAATGAAAGTGCTGGCAAGGAGAGGACAAGCAGTCAAAGATGAAGAAAACCTTCCTTCTTCCATGTCTTTATACAGGCTGCCAGCAGAAGATGTGGTTCAGATTAGAGGTGTGTCTCCCCACCTCAAGATCTGTATTAAAGGATTGTGTCGTCCTACCTCAAGATTCCTATCAAAGGCCTGTGTCTTACAGCCTCAAGATCCAGACCAATGACATGTTGTCCCCCTCGCTCAAGATATGGATCACAGGTGTGTCCTCCATTTCCGTATTGTAGTTCATCCAGATACAATCAAGTTGACAACCAAGAATAGCCATCACACCTGCAGTCCACATGGTAGAAGAAAAGAATTGACTCTGGCAAATTTTCCTCCTTTCCACATGTGTGCAACGGCGGTGTCATACACACACATACACAAACACACACACCACACACACCAAATAAAGTATAATTTTAAAAAATTAAAATTCAGGTGAAAAGTAACTAATGAAGATGCCAATATCAGTCTCTGGCAACTACACATGCATATGTGCGCAAGTACATCCATACTTCCAAACACATGTGTACAACAAAAAGCCTATTTTAAATGGATCCAAACAGGAATAGATATGATAATGGGCCTCCTAGATGGCAGCCAATGGTCCCGGCTTCCTGATATTGCTATCCCATAGAAGGGCCTTCCCTCTTGTGGCCTGTTGATGTCTGTAATTAACTGCAAAAAGTAGTAATGGTAGAACTGACTGGGGCTCCTTTGAAACTTTCCTTTGGTCTCTTTGTCTTAATGGATTCTATCTTGACCCTCTAAACTGCTCTCTCTTTCCCAATTATTTCTCCTTCCCAACTGTCTGAATCAGTGTCCTATTGCTGTGAAGATATACCATGACCATGGTAACTTTTATAAAGGAAAATGTTTAATTGGACTCACTTACAGTTTCAGAGGGTTAGTCTATTGTCATCATGGCAGGAAGCATGGTGGCACACAGGCAGACATGGTCCTGGAGAAGTAGCTGACAATTCTACATTTAGATCTGCAGGCAACAGGGAGATGGAGACTCTGGTTTTGGAATGGGCTTTTGAAACCTCAAAGCCCACCTCTGGTGACACAATTTTTCCAGTAAGGCTTTCAAAGAGTGCCACTCCCTGGTGACCAAGCATTCAAATCTATGAAACTATGGGGGCCATTCTCATTCAAACCACCACACCACACCAACTTACTTTGAATTCCAGGAATGGTGAACCCTTCAGCCAATCAACTGCTGGGAACCAATCACAGTTTCTATGGTTCTCTGATGCTAGCAGGACTCACAGAAACAACTCTGAGATCAGGATCAACCAAATCACTCTGGCATACCACCCTTTGTTTGTTTGTTTTTGTCTCCTTTCTGTTTATAATTTTGAAGCTATTGTTAATACCCGTAATGTAGTTTCTAAGCTGGGCACAGAGAAATTGTCTTTCTGTTTCACTACTGCTCATCTCTCTCTGATGTTTGGACCCTGGAAGACACATCTGGCAGAACCTGGTCTGTTCAGATCCCCAGAGTTAGGCTTCTGGTAACAGTTATAAAATTTATTTAAATTAATCTTTAAAAATTTTTTATGTGTGGGTGTTTTGCTCTACTAGGACTCATAGTCTTTGACATGGTTGCTTCAGCATCATTAGAGCCTTGAGAGACTGGCAACAGATTGACTTCAGCTTCGTGAGAGACTGAGTATGGTAAGAAGGCAAACATTTGCTGTTTTAAGCTGTGAGTTTGGGGACATTATGTTCTGTGGCAATAGATAATTAGCATTATTTGAGTCAAGTCAGATGTTAAGATCCTGAAGAACAAACACACATATAGTCCTTCTTATATCCCAAAGATACAAGATGTACAGTGAGTGCAGTGTACTGAGAACACAGCCTCTGGTTATAGGGGAAAAGATCAGATCTGGGCCAGGGAGATGATTCAGTCCATGTGATAGTTAATAGTGTCAGCTTGACAAGATCTAAAGTCACCTAGGAGACAAGCCTTTGGGCATGCCTGAGAGATAGTTCGTAGATTGGGTTCACTGAGGTGGGAAGACCCATCTTAACTCTCAGCTGCACCATCCCATGGCTGGGGTCATAGACAATAAAAACGAGAGAGAGAGAGAGAGAGAGAGAGAACGAACGAGAGAGAATATGCATGTGTGTATGCATATAAGTGTGTGTGTGTACCACACACACACATACACACACACACACACACACACACACGTATATATGGATACACACACAATGGAAAGCTATTCAGTCATTAAAAGAATGAAATCCTTCATTTACACACTGACAAGATTTAATGGGTCTGGAGGACATTGTTACAATTTAAATGAGTCAGAGAAACAGTGTTTCACAGAGAAACACTGAAGTACCTCACCATTCTCTATTGTAATATTGAGACTCCCATACCCATGATTAAAAATAATAAAAATAACCTTAAGAACTCTGAAGTAGCTGTTTGTGTAAGTCAGGTTTTGTCGTTGAGGCTGTGACAAATGCTGAGAAAAACCACTTAGAGGAGGAAGGGTTTATTTTGGCTCATGGTTGGGGTGGCTTCAGCCCATGATCAGCTGGCGCCATTGTTTCCAGGGCTGTGGCTAGGCATATCATCATGCTGGGAAGTGTGTGGCAAAGCAGAGATGCTCACTTCATGGCAGTTACGAAAGCAAAGGAGCCATAGGACAGAGCCAGGGCCAAGGCAGACCCATCAAGGGCACCTCCACCACCCCTGTGATCCACTCCCTCCAACTTCTACTCACTCTATGCCAATGTTGAGTCTGTCACTGGATTGACCTATTAATTAGATTATAACCCTCACAATCTAGTCTATGGAAGCTCCGTCATGGACACACTGGGAGGTATGCTTTACAAATCTCCTAGGTGCTTTTCAAGCCAGTCAAGATTAAGTATCACAGGCCGGGCGATGGTGGCGCATGCCTTTGATCCCAGCACTTGGGAGGCAGAGGCAGGTGGATCTCTGTGAGTTCGAGACCAGCCTGGTCTACAAGAGCTAGTTCCAGGACAGGCTCCAAAGCCACAGAAAAACCCTGTCTCAAAAAAAAAAAACCAAAAAAAAAAAAAAGAAAGATTAAGTATCACAGTGGCTTTTTGCACAGACAACTGTAGAACATTGTTTTCATTGGGTCTGTACATCAGACTGGAGAAATAGGTATTTCTCCATCTCACCTGAAAGCATTTTACGCGATCCTACCTTGCATATGGATGCTCTGGGCCGAAAATAGCTGATGTGGAATCCCCCTCTGTATGCTGTGAATACCATTGGTTAATAAAGGACTGCTCTGGACCTGTAGCAGGGCAGAACTTAGATAGGCATCCCCAATCCACTTCAAGAGGAAGATGGGCATCAAAGAGAATCCTTATGGAGTTAGTTAGCCATTTGGGCAAGAAACTGCTCTTGCCTAGACTGCTTGATGAACTGGATATTTAGCACCTGCAGAGAAATGACTGCTGCACTTGCCTAAAGGTGAGACGGTCCTTTGGGGTTCCTGCTTCATGAAAGAGTCTGCTAGACATTCTGCAGGACACAGAAGAAAGTGACTGACAAAGTGCTAATATAGGTGGAACTGTCTTTGAAATTTCTTGCTTCTTCAAAAAGTCTGCCGGATACTATGGGACTGTAGGCTGAAGATGGATGCCCCAACGGTACAGAAGAACTTTTGATGACTGTCCAAGCAGTGAGATGTCTCGGTCATTTCTAGAGTTTTGGAAGTTGCTTACCATGAACTTCCTGTTTACTTAGGTAATATATCCTTCTGGAGTCTCTGATGGAGTTGAAGAATTTATAGTTATAGTTTTCCTTAGTTATAATAAAACATAAAGTAGATATAAATATTGTAACTGTAACTCTTGCTTGATACATGTTTTGTTATATGTAATTTTACTATGTTAAAGTTAAAACCTCCTTTTTTATTTAAACAGAAAAGGGGAGGTAATGTAGGATTCCCCTCTGTATGCTGTGAATACCATTGGTTAATAAAGGACTGCTTTGGATCTATAGCAGGGAAGGACTTAGAGAGGCAGGGAAAACTAAACTGAATGCTGAGAGAAAGGAGTCAGAGTCTGAGAGAAGCCATGGAGCTGCTGCCAGAGACAGACACACTGAAACTTTGCTGGTAGGCTACGACCTCGTGGTGATGAACAGATTAATGGAGATGGGTTAAATTAATATGTAAGAGTTAGCCAATACGAAGTTAGAGCTAATGGGCCAAGCAGTGATTTGATTAATACAGTTTCTGTGTGATTATTTTGGTTCTGCGCAGCTGGGACGAACAAGTAGCTCCTTTCAACAAACAGCAGCTATGAGCTAGCGGGATGTGGAGGAGCAGAGCTTTGATTGCCAGTGGGGCTGCAGTACTCTGTAGCAGTCCCCAGGCACTCAATGTCAAAAACAACAGTATGGGCTGGGGAGATGTCCAGTGAGTAACGTGCTGGCCACAGAAGCACAAGAGGCTGGATTTGGAGTCTCAAGACTCATGTAAAAGCTGGATGTGGCGGCACAAGTTTATAATCCCAGTGCTGGGAGGGGCAGCAGAGGCAGGTGGATCCCGGAGCCTCCCAGGATCCAGGTTCCAGTCTAGCCATAAAAATGAGATCCAGGTTTGGTAAAAGATCCTATCATAAGGAAATGCACTGAAAAGTGAGACACCTGAATTCCTGCATGTGAACACTCCAAATATGCACACTCACATGCGTGCACCCCCCTACATACATACACACACTATGCCTATAGACAAGCACACACATTTACCTCACATACCCCCACACCTTATGTGCACACACAAACATACCCCATGTACACACACATACACCCTACACACACACCACACGTACACACTTACATGCACAAACACACATACACAAAGAAAGAAAAGAGAAAAACCCCTTAGTATTAACAGCAGTAGTAACTTGAGCTCACTCCTTTTGGGTTAGCTCTGCGTGAAATGTGAAATTTTCCCTTTACCATTTGAAGATAGGCTGTCAGATTCTAGAACACACAGGAAAGATGTCAACAGTAATGCTGAAGATTCAGTTTTTCAGTGTATGTGCTGATCACTCAGAGGAGAAATTCAGCTACTTTAAGGCCAACTAAACATCAAGAGACCTTATTATTATTATTATTATTTAAAAAAATAGTGTCTGTAGTCTGGCCCATAGTGTTCAGCAGCC